AAAGCAGCGAAAGATAAGGGACTCATCGCGGCTTGGTTCCGTCATTTATAAGCTCGATAGGGATAAGATGCAACGAAGACAGGGGAAACAAAATGCTGTATCTTCGGATACAGTGCGGGCGCGGATCGAACGCGCGGACGGGAAATTTCAGTTTGAAACAGGAACGGGAGAAGCCGACCCACATCGAGGTTTCGAGTGTTTGTACTGCTGACGCGGCAATCCAATCCAATCCAATACCCCTGGCGAGTAGAGGTACCTCCACGTAGTGCTCGCGCATATAAACACACACATATACGCACATACGAACGGGAATCGCTCTCCTCGTTCTTCTTTCATCGACCCTGCCCGCTTTTCTGTCTACTTTCCGATACAATTTCGCTTCTCGCTTGTACCACCGGAAGTTCCATCTCGTAACCGGACGCGCGCCCCTTTTTCACTACGGCTAATGATTCGCTCGCCACTCGGACTATGTGCGTATTATCGTCGATTTATTTCGAACACGCTCGCTGAGGTAAGGCCTTTGCTCGCTGTTTTGGCACTGCCATCGTGACACCTACGTCGCGCACGATGGGGTCACCTGCATCTTCCTTTCGAAACTTGATTCCGGTCGATATGACAAACGTGCACAGGAGGAGAAAAGAATGTTAATCTCACTACAAATTATACTGAGAGGAAGGCGTTTAGTATTAGTAATGGCACGGTGAAATAATTATAGTCAGGAAAATTGTTTCCTTACTACTATAGTATTGATAATAACATTATATATGCTGCAATTTTTTGTTAGAATAATGAATAGAGAACATGGCTGGCGCCGCAAATGATTATAACTGTAACGAGATTGGCCATTTCTTTCTCTCAGTGTATAGTTATTGTCAGTATAAGTTATATTTTTGGTTGTCTTACTGAACAAACAGTAGTAGTAATATATGTAAAATTATTATAGCGTCGTGTAGAAGCACTTACTGCGAAAATAGTTTTCCTGCCTATAATATTGCATATATAAAATAATTATCACGCGATATATAACAGCATCTACTACAAAAATAGTCTTCCCGATTATTTCACTATGCAAAATTGTGATAAATAATTGTCATAAATATTGTCATAAATATTGAACATTCTATTACCACTGATAAGCTACATCATGTGTACAAGACGAGCAACGTGCGCGTCAGCCGACTGCAGCGGCGCGTTATTATCATAAACGCAACAATAACGAGGGATGATCCGACGTGTAAACTGTTAAACCCTCTTTCTTTTCCTCTATCCGAGACCGAGGATGAGGATTACCATGGGGGGTTGGACAACGCAGGCCGCCCGGAGTCTGCAGGGGATGTTATTGTTGCCACGAAAGAACGGGAGGAAAGACTCAGGGGTTTTGAGGGGGAAAAGGGGGACACGCATAGACAGGGTGGGAGTCTATAACTGGTATTCGGACGCGCGCGCGCGCGCGCGAGATCAACCCTTCGACCCTCAATGATATCGACGTGGTGTTTGCCGCCTCCCATTACGAGCTCGATTGAACCAAACTATACGATTATCGTGCGTCAGTGATAGCCTTTGTACGCACGCTCGGTGAATCCCGAAGGGTTAAGAAGTTACGCCACTTTGCGAATCGCGGCCAGCGTCGTGGAACACGTGGAGAAGCGCTCGATCCTCTTCGGCTCTTGGCACTCTCCACGTGCACTGTTAGTTTGTTAGCAGTGTCGAATCGTTTGGCAATCACCGTATTCCTTTTGCGGATTTGGATCTTAATTGGCAGATCAAAGTATAAAGGATAGGCCGACGAGACAGTAAGATATCGAGAGTGTGATAATTTGAACCAATAGAACCGGAGGATCAAGAAGTGCTCGATAGTGTAACGCACGTTAGATTTTCATCGTACGCGATGCACTAATTAACAGCCAATCAATCGCGTCGAACTGAGCCTGTATCTCGTGATTCCAAATAATATCACGCATTCAATCAAAATTATTTGAGTACTCGAATAATTTGTAATATTGCGAGAAGTATTGCCTCAACCAGCAGACATTGTTTTATTAAATTGTCAGACTCGTGCGAAGCTCGATTTATATAATACCTGAATAATACAATATAACAAATAACGAAAAAAAAAATATTGGGAGTACAAATTAGTTCAGTCCGTTTTTTATGGTCAAAAATGCATTTATTTCAGAACAAAATGAATGAACAGATTAATCAAAGTCTTGTCCATCACTGGCTACTACTTTTTCCCACCTTTCAGGCAATTTTCAAATTCCATCTCGAAAAAATGTCTCGTCTTTTGAGGCGATCCAAGTTAGGAGCCAATTTTCGATTTCTGCGAAAGAAGTGAACCGGTGACCTGCCAAATCGTGCTGCATCCGTCGGAAAAACCAGTAATCAAAAAGAGCAATGTCCGGCGAATACGGCGGGTGCGGTAAAATATCCCACTTGAGCGTTTCCAAATAATTTTTTACGACTTTTGCGATATGAGGCCGAGCGTTATCACGAAGAAGAATAACTTTGTCATGTCTTTGCTCGTATTCCGGCCGTTTTTCTCGTAATGCACGGCTCAAACGAATCAATTGTAGCCTATACCGATTCTTGACTCGGATCTTCATCGAGTAATGCCTCCAATTCTTTGTCTTCGAATTTTTTTGGCTATCCAGAGCGAGGCTTGTCTTCAACGCTGAAATCACCATTCTTGAAACGTCGAAACCACTCCCTGATTTATCAATTGGAGCATTGTCACCATAAACTACAAGCATTCGATGCGCTTCAGCTGCACTTTTTTCCAATTAAAGCAGAAAACTAAAACCTCCCGCAAATGCTGCTTAGTTAACACAAAATTTGACATATTCAACACAGTAAAAAACAGGGGTTTTGTATGAAACTCAAAGCGATATAAACTGAATATTATTGACAGATGTCTAACCTCTCTGAAATCAGCTGTCACTATGAAACATTCATAACAGCCAGAGCTATCTTTTGAAAACGGACAGAACTAATTTATACTCCCAATAATAGAAAGAACAATAATTAGCTTAGTTTCTCGGAACATGTGTCGGAAATATCCCGGCAGAGAGAAGGTGACATTTCGCTAGCAACTGAAACATACGTGCGATAACATGAAGTATTATCAGGCCCTTGGGTCACGATGTTCTCTCGCGATAGTTTATGCGAATTCGCTCGACGAGTGCGCCCCGCGTGCGCAATCAATTCAATTAAAATTGATTTCCACCCGCAGCGCGCGACACATCAAACAAACCACCCCCATATGCTCGCGCGCGCCTTCTCTTATTCCGGATTCCCCCTTGGCTCCCATAAAGCATCAACCATCTCGCAATTCGAAAGCCAGGCTATAAATATTCAAACGTGGAGTCACGTCGCGTCGTGACGCGACGTGGCGGGGGCGCACGGCCGTTTTGTCCTTTTGTCAGCGTGATCATTATATCTCGCTTCCAATTTTTCTCCTCGACGACGACAACGCAAACGGTTGAGAAGGAGAGAGAGAAATAGGAGGGGGGAAGGGAGGAGAGCGAATTCGATGGCTCGAGGAGACGGTTACGAGCCATCGGCGACGGGGTGAGAGCGATGGAAGAGGGTTGCGCGCAACGTCAAGCGCGAAGTAACGCGGGCTACACCGTCTCGCGTTTTTAACGCGAGTTCTGCTACAATTACACTTTATACGTGACTCAATGAGACGCGATAAATTCATAATATCGATCACCGGTGATGGTTACAGCATTCGTCATGTTAAATAAACAAGAGCAAGCCTAAGCGACGTTCCGAGACGCCATAAAGGAGAATTTACGCCTCGGCAGAGGAGCAGAAAATACACGGAGAAAAATAATTTGCTGGTTCAGCAAATTTTCTGCTGGTCTAGCAAAATTTTTTCGTTATTATGAACAATAAAAAGATTTGCTAAGAGTACTAATCACTATTTGCTGGATAATTTAATAATCTTATAATTTGCTGAATCTACAAATTATTTTATTATAAGAATCATGATGGATTTATATAAACAGTTGCAGTTTTGCTCCGATAGCAAATAAATTTGCTAAGGATACATAATTTTGCATCAATAGCAAATTAACGTGATTCTTAGCACAAATACACTCAACAAATTTTTTCTATCCTGGCAACTACTTCTGCTCTGATAACGAATAATTTGTAAAATTAGTTACGTCAACTAAATTTTTTTGATGTCACTACGAATATGTATTAGCAACGACGGTTTTGCTAAAATAGCAAAACTATTTTTCTTCATGTAGAAAGGCAGAGAACTCTCACTCTTCTGCTTTCTGTTTTTCTGCCAAAGTGTGAATTTTCCCCAAGGTGTACTCTCGTTTCTCCCGGGCGAATTTTGCGCTGCGCTCTTGCGCGAGGTCAAATCTGCGAGGTGGTGCTACCCTGCGCTCTCGTTGGCGAAGCGCGCCTTCGAAAATCCGTTATTAACGATAGACTCGGTAGCAGCTATTATGACGTTTCACGATGCAGGGGCAAACACGCGGCGCTTGCTTATCCCAGTGACGTTGCCGCGAGTCCTACGCATGCTGCATATTATTTGAGAACACGGGACACGCGCCGGCACGCTCCCATTCATATAGGCGGCTATATTGCGCCCGTCTGTCTCCCTTTTCTCTCCCCTTTTCTCTCCCCCGAACTCGCGTGTGTTAATTATCGGGAATAACTACACATTCAACGCGGCAATATTTATTGAAGGGTTAAGCCGGTCCGAATGGCCGACTACGTGCTATAAATTGTCTTCGAGTCGTGTCTTGAGCGCGTATATTCAACGCGAACTTGGGAAATATTGTTTGTGCGCGATCGAACAACCTGCGCGAACATTTAATTGTCAACGTTGGAAGAACAACAAGGCGTCGTGCAGAAGATGTCTGTAAATATCGTTCGACTTGTATTCTATTCTGTATTTGGCGATTCTTCTTGCAAGATACACAAGATCTGTGCTTAACGTGCTTAACGTGCTTAACGTGTCTTCTCTTTCGTTTTGCCAGGTTATCAGAGTGGCTACCAATCGGGCTACGATTACGAAGACAATGCTGGTTCGAGTCAAATGCGTGGACCATGGGCATCCGGCTACGGTAATGCCCCGAGGAGTCGCCCTCCATCATCCTATGACTATCAACAGTCCCGTAATCGCTACAACAATCATCAGTTGCAATTCTCACGGAATATGGCGGGTGGTTACCAGAATGTGCAACAAAGCTACAACAATCAACGCGGAATGGTACGTATATCCTGCCTAAAATTTGGCATCTAATGTAAAATCTAATATCTCATGCGTTTCTCATCTCTTATCTCTTTCTCTCTCTTCCTCTCTCTTCCTCCCCCCTCTTTCTCTCTCTCATTCTGTCTTTCTCACAATAAATATATAAAACGCATAATTATCATAACTTTTATATTAATTTGAACGGACCTTTTGCCCCGGTCTTCCTATTTTATGTTTTACAGAATTATTCTTCGACACGAAGAACTGAGGAACGGAGGAACGGAGGTGGAGGAAACTATCGAAGTGGATGGCGACGAACCTCGTGAGCCCGCGATTCGGTATCGAAAATTTTGATGTGTACCTCTTTAGCATAATATTATGTGGAATCGTGTATAACTTCTATTGTTTCCCTTTCCTTTGAGTCTATTTTGATAGAAGTTACTTTACAATTTTATCTGACTTTATATATTATCATTAGTATATCTCTTATATATATTATCTATAACGACTTATATATGTGCGTGTTCTACTACTCCGGTGATTGATTTCTTCTCATAAGCTCATAAGCATGAGAAAGAAAAATACAAACATCTGTTATCTTTTATTGGATGTTAACCGTGATTTGATATCAATGCAATAGTTGAATATCGAATTTGCAATGGATCACCACGCACAAGGATTACTTGATTAAGGTTTACAAACAGTGAATCATGAGGAATTCAAGTCAGCTGACTTGATTGAGCAAATACTGTATCATCTCACTCTTGATCAAGGCATATCAAAGTGCGTTGTCGTAAATAACAGTCAGTACAAAAATGTCTGTGAACTCGCAGACCCGAGGTGAAATGGTTCTACATTGATTCGCAAATTTCTTGAAAGAGCAACAGATGAAATTTAACATTATATATGCTATTATCTCGCCCCTTAATGCTACATAAACGTTGATTTACTGTCCTTTTCTTCATGAAGTTTCTTGAAAGAAAGATCTCTTCAAGAATAATTTAATATTTGATTATCTCCGCACTTTTAATCGTCCTCCTTATGTCCAACAAGCAAGGTATGCATTATGTAACTTTCTTAACTGCAAATCAAACATATGAAACAAATAAATATCAAATAATTAGTAAATAATATAATTAATAAGTAAATAAGATAAACTTTTTTGTACATAATCTTATGTTTCTTTTTCCTTTAATTTTCATCTTTTCATTGACGTTGAAAATTTTTATAGGACTTGAAAGACTTATATGAACAAACATAACAATTATATTTAATAGTGCTGTGCACTAATAGATTGAAAATTGATTTCGGTATAATAACAAAACTATACAGAAGTGGAAAAGAAGGAAGAACCTTATTAGATATATGAGTCAAACCTAGGAAGAGCCTTATTAGATACATGAGTCAAATCTAGGAAGAGCCTTATTAGATACATGAGTCGATACTTAAAAGATTTATACTAGATTCTAGAATGATATTCATAGTTGTGAATTATTTGGGATCTTAGATTGAGAGCACAATTAATCATAGACTTGTGCTAATGAACTGTTTTGGCTATTTGAATCAATGCTTTGTATTGCACGAAAGAAGTGCATGTACAGACCGATAAACAATCATAGTGACTCTATTTAATTTATATTTTTTCTACTTATTTATCTAATTATTTGTCAAATGAATCGTCAGTCTATGAATGACCGGCCTAAGTTTCAACTCTCTATTCTCAAAAAGTTCGTCAAATGTCCGTTAAAATCGGAAACCAGCATATTTGACAGACCTGGAGATTACCTGAATGTATTGCATATCTTGACGTTTCACGTTCTCCATCCTGGCTTCTCAATGTAACATCTTGGCACCTGATTGACTCCGTGACATTCCGAATACTCATTTGTGACACTGACACTAATGTTCACGTGGTACGATTCAGTTGGAGGTTAGGTTAGGTTAAAATAACGCGTATACACTAACGCGATTTTGACGAGAGCACGATAAAATATTTTGGAAATGGCGGAATATTTTAATCACCCGAAGGTTGTGATAACAAGAAGACACACGCACGTCGCGTGTAAGCTTATCATTTACTTGCTAAAAGCTCGTAATATTTTTGAAAGCATTGAATGTTGTCACTTCTCGGTAGCTCCTTGACACGCTCGCCAATTGTTATTGTTCGCTCCAGCGTCGTGTATCGTTCATAAACGCGCGTCCTGCTTCATGTCTCCATCTGGCGAACGATACGAAATCCGCGGATCGGTAAGTCAGTTACAATTGCCAGCGGGCGAACGAGATATTTCGTACATATTTGGTCTGTTCTTTTTAGCTGCACTGCTGAACTAGTGCAATAAGTTAAAATGAGATGAATATACTTTTTCTCGCTCTAACTAATTGCACCAGTTCAGGGTCCCTATTCTTGAAATAGTTGCGTATACGTATTTTATTGCGCAGGTTTAACCATATAAAATAGCTGCGCAATGAAAATTACGTATACGCAAAAATTTCAAGAAAAGGGGCCCAGCAATGCAGCTAAAAAAAGAACAGAGCAATTAAAACGTGCGGCGTTCTCTTATCGGGACTGGCCAATCGTAGAACGACAATTTTGAACGTTTCAGCTGCACCCTCCTGTACTCTCCCAGAAATCTTGGTCTTTTTCTCTCTTTCTTATCAATTGGTGAACATTTACTTGCTTAATTGTTAAGCGCGGAGCACATTTCTACTTGATTATTTACGCGCAATACGTGCCTACTTCGCCTCGAGTGTTGCGAATGCAACGAAGTGCAGTTGAAAGGAGCGAGTCTCAAATGTAACGGCCATTAGGCGCGTTCAGTAGAAAAAGCGCTCAGTGAGCAATCGATTATTGGTTCTTACTATTAGATTACTAAATCTAGACCAATTACATAAATCTAGACGAATTGCTCAACTGTTGTGCAACTGTTGCGTTCGCTGAACGCACCCATTGTCTTTACGAAATGTTCGCTGTGAAGTCGTCGCACGCCCCGCGCAAAGTAGCCGGTCTCTCGTCGATGTCGTGCAATTAACGTGCGTTCCTCCGTTCGAACCGTGTCTACATGAATCTCAGTGTTAGCGTCAGTGCTTGTGTAGCCTCAGTCACGAGGAAGTATTCGGAATGTCACGACGGAATAGCTAGGAATCAGGATGCTAAGCAGGAAAGTCAGAACGGAGAACGCCAAGGGCGGAGGACGCCGAGACGCGGCCAGTGATGTACATCGTATATCTCAAGGTATATGAAGTCAGTTATACGATTTATTCTCAATTTCAATAAATATGACTGAGATAATCGAATATTAGATATTCCCAAACAGATCTTTGGTCTGTTCTTTTCAACTGCTCTGCTGAACTGATGCAATAAGTTAGAGTGAAAAAAGATATACTTGTCTCACTTTTACTTATTACACCAGTTCAACAGTGCAACTGAAAAGAACAGATCACTTTTCTGCTAATCCTCGACTGGACACAACAGTCATAAGTAAATACTTATACGGTAGCTAGATGGCGCCTTAAAACTTTTAAAATATAAGATCCCGGAGATTCTTCCGGAGTTGGCCGTCAAATACGACGGAATTAGCAGGGTCAGTGTAGAATCAAGTTTTCGGATTCGAAATTACGAGAGATTCGGTCGCTGCGCGAAATTATGTGGCAAAATTCAAATCTAACAAGTCTCTTTATCTGCGACAAAATGTGCTGCTTTAAATTGTGTGGGATAAAAGTTTCGAATTTATATTGCATATGAAATCAGTTCTCTAATATATTTATAAGCATTCTATAAGCGTACATCACATCAGAGGTATAATACACTGTGAAAAGAGGATCAGTCGAAGTATTTGAACAGAGCTAAATAAACTCAATTTCAGGGTTGCACATGGCGAATTAACTGCCCTAATTTTCTCAACAAAATCTTTTTGTGCTTTTTATTTCCTATTTGCGTAAAATAAACTCAAAATTTTGTTGGATGAGGTGATCATAATAAAATTCACCTTAATTCTTTATCACATTTATCATCTGCTTTAATTAACTTTCCAGTCAATCATGCGCATTGTGCAGTTAAATCAACCTTTTGGCAATTGAAAGAACATCTATATTATACATAAAAATTACGTTCCAATTACATTTCAAATAATCGAGCTAATTCGATTTTTATTCGATTTGTCTCAATCGCAACAAATTTGCTCAACCCTGATCTCACCTGATGCTTTTTTCTGTGTACAGCGAAGAACGTCGCGGCTATTACTGCCCTCCTAAGCTAAAAGGGCGTATCTTTATTCCTTCTAAGGAGAAAGATTAACGCATTTCACCTCTCTCTCTCTTTGCATAAATTTTAATTCGTTGAAGTCTTGCAAACATTCGCATCCGTCCTTTCCGCTTAGAATGCCATTATATTCTCTCTGATGTGAATCCGATGTATGGTCAGGGCCCATTCTTGAAATTTTTGCGTATACGTAACTTTCATTGTGCAACCATTTAATGATATAATTATACTTGCGCAAAGCAACTTATGTATACGCAAAAATTCAAGAATATGGGCCCAGATCCTTAACGATCGATTTGCATTTTTTTATTATCATACCGGAGGTGATTAAGATACGATGCATTCGTATACTTCAGTTACGTGAGAATTTATTGTGTAGTAACGACGATTTAGTTGTACATTTTTTCAACATAGATATACTAAGACCACAATGGCGTGTATATCTTTTTATAAAAATACAGTCAATATCTCGTAGTTCTCTCTCGCAATGAGATATCTTCACGGGCGTTTAGCACCTTCAATCATATGTCGGTTCTATTTGACGCCTATAATAATCACTTGTCATTGTCGTCGATCGTATTTTCATGTTCTTTACGTTTCCCGATTATTATTGACACGAGTAGAATTAAATGTGTACACAATAAGACAAAAGAAGAATTCGTCGAAACAACTCAAGTCGAGTTAAGCGAACTTATTTTCAGAGTTGTACACGGCGAACTAACTGTCCTTAATTATTTCAGCAGCATTCCCATGCTTTCCTAATCTCTCATTTTGTTTGAGACTCAAACTATCGTTCAATGAATGGTCACATTTGTCGTCTAAATTTATTTACCTTCCAAAGCAAAGTTAAAATCATTGATATCACGCAGTTAGATCAGTTTTTTGATTATTGAAGGAATGTTTCTATCATGCAAACAAACTATGTTTCCGTTTCGTTAGCTGTTTACTATTGAAATTGTATGATGAAAATTTCGATGTCAGATTGCTGAAATCTGACCCGATTTTCATTCGATTTGATGCGATTGTATTTTGTGTGGCTCTAAACTTGTGTAACTCTGAGACGTAGTTCTTTTTACTCAATTTTTTTTTCAATATAATAATTACGGTCAATGAATTGTACATATTGACTAAATTATATAAGATAAAAGTGTCATCGGGTTATATTTCAGCTGATCAAACGCAGTCTGTAGTTATGTATATGTTAAACAACATTACTTTTAGTCGGTTGTATATCAGTAGCGACGAGTAAAACTTGCTCGTGCAATGTGAAATCGCATATTCTAGCTCGTTTTAGTGGGGTAAAAGACCGTGAGGGTAATTCGCGGATTTTCATTTCAGGTTAAGGGATAATTAATACAAAGATCGAGCCCAAACGAGTAAATTTCACTCTTCGCTATCAGTCTAGACTTAAGCACAATATTAGAACGCCACTATTGGACGGTATTTGTCATTTCCCTCTATATTGAAATACACGATATTTCCGTAATGAAACTGTTGGATAAATGGTACAACACCTTTAGTCATCTCCCGAGTTGAAATTTTACTTTACATCAATCACCTGTATAAATTCGGTTCAACTTGAGGGAAATGAAATTTCTCGAATGAAAAATCTCGAGATATAATCAGAGAGACTATTGTTTTACGGCGCTGTAAATAATTATTGCCGTAAAATTTCGACTCAGATATCTCCTTATTCCCCGCAAGCTTGTCGGATATTATCCGTCAAAGTTAAGTATGATAAGTTATTTGACGCGCCTGTGTAAATGTAAAAAAGCTGCATTCGCGACGGCCCTGCATTTTTCGTCCTACCTTCCCGATCCAACAGTCGGCTTCTCCGTCGTGGCACTCCGGATAATCACTTGTGGCACTGACATTGTCATTGACACTCGCGCGGACACGATTATTCGATCAAAGAAACACGCGTTAATTAACGCGACGTCGAATATTTCAAGAGCCGACGACGAAATATTCATCCATACGCGACGGAAATTGTGTGTAACCAAACACTGACATACGACACGGGAGCGCCGGCTCGAAACAACATAACACTCGGTTACGGAAAAAATGCGTGACGTATGAGAGTATCAAAACAATGCGCACTTGATCGTACCGGCGGTCGCCAATCGGTGCTCTCCCCCCTCACCACCACTCAATGGGGCCGAGCGATAACGACAATCAAAACATTCCAGACCTTCAAGACGGCCAAACTTAGTCTCGTGTGTGTCGCGGATTTTCCCGAGTCTTTCCATTGTATTACGGGACGCCGAGAGAGACACGTGCACCGTGCCTATTACGTAGTCGGTTTATTATCATCCCTGCCTACTCTCTTAAAGTGAATAGTCACTGATATCAGTTATGAGTATAGCACTGAGCGCTTTCAGTGCTATACTTATAACTGAAATCAGTATATATTCACTGTTTTCAGCGATGTTTGACTGATTCATTTTAAGAGAGTAGTGATCAGAATATTTTATCGGCTCGCGCGATAATTTAATCCGACTCCGCTCGCGACGCGTTGTCAAACGCGTGTTTCGTTTCGCATTTTATCAAATCGTATTTTCGCGAGTGTCAGTGTCGCAACGAAGTAGCCAGAAGTCAGGATGCTGAGGATTCAAGAGGGAAGACGCTGGAACACGAGTAACGATACGTTCATGTACATTCAGGTAGGTGAAATCGTTTATTGCACAAGATGTTCCTGATTTTAATTGACGTCTGGCGAATTTGCCGAGAATAAGGAGACTCTCGAGCCGAAATTCAGGCTGGCATTTACATTCTGTCATTATTTCATTATCAAATTATATAGCTTGACGAATCTCTGATTGCTCATTTAAATTATACTTCGACTTATTTTATGCACTAAGAAATATTGATCGAAACACTCGAATAACAATCCGCGAATATGAATCTACAATTAATATGTTTTCAATCAACGATCATAAATAATTTGCATTATTAGAATTTAGTATAAATCTTGCAAACGTTGTTTTTGTGTGTGATAATGCTTCTTGGGCAACAAAGGTAGTCCGTTTTGAATTTGATATCGATTTGTTTTATTGCCGTTTCGCTTCGTTATATCCAATCCAAATTTGAACTTTTATGGATATACGTGACAGATAGGAAAAGAGACAGGAAGAACTATGCCGCACATGTTCGTTCTGGAGAGGTGAAGAGGGCACAATCAAGCGTCACGTATGCCGGGAGCGTTTCTCTCCCGTTATCGTGGCTTCGTTATTATCCCTTTGATGAAATAAGGCTCTATCCGCGCCGAAATCTACCCCACGTTCGTGTAGTTGCGGTTGCTTATCGAGTACACGCGGCTCTCCTCGGCTCTCCCTCTCACCATTGTGCCCGGGCTTTTTCCGAAACGGCGCGGGACACAATGCCGCCCTTACATCCTCGTCGAGTGTAAGTCGTCGCTCGCGAGCAATGCGCTCGCTCTCGTTGTCGCCGCGATGGTGGATCTGATTTCGGGGACGGGCGCCGAAAGGGGAGCGCGCGGGCGCTCCGTAATTCGCTATTAATCGTGACATGGAGAAAAATATCGAGCGCGGACGAGAGAAATCTCTGGTCATTTATCGATAGATCGGTGCAATTCATTTATTGTGGAGATATAAACGCGTGCGCGAACAGATGGGAACTTGATGGGTCGCGAGAGGATATGTTTCTCGTTGACATTCGACCCGCGAATTACGATGGTGCACGTAATAAGCGCGCGCTAGCGAAACGAGCGCGTGGTGAAGGAAGAGAAAGAGAGAAGAGACGGAGGAGCAGGATGAAGGAAGGAACTTCGGTATACGTAACTGGAGGCGGTCTGTTTGGTGGTTGAATCGCGGAGTAGAAGGCAGTGAGAGCCCTTATGCGCACATGGAAAAGAAGTCCAGGTGCGCCCTCACCTCGCACGATCGCGCACGACGGCACATTGAAGCTCTCTTTTGTCTCTCTCTCTCTCTCCCCCATTTTTTCCCTCCTCTCCCTTGCCGGTCCTCTCGGTCTCTCTCCCTCATCCTCCTTTCTTCGTTCTTCTCCTTGCTTCCTCTCTGCCCGCGTTCCCGTCTCATTTCATACGCGCTCACGGAATGCGCACGAAGCGCGCGCGCGCGCGTACCTACGCTTTACCAACTAACGTAAAAACGCGGCGCGCGTACTCGTACACGGATGCAGGCACCTAAAGCCGAAGAATAGGGACTGAAGTGCCGTTGTGCGAAATGGATGTAAATGCCAAGTAGCCAAGTGTGCGCCGCCTGGCTTTCCTCTACCTTTCCGTTTCGCGTTTCCCCTTTCTCTCTCTCTCTCTCTTTCTCCTTCCATCTCTCTTCCTCTTGCCGGGAACGCCGCTGTCGTTTAATAAGCGGGCATCGCTCGAGAATCGCTGTCCGTTAAGACGCGCGAGACCACGCGGAAAGATCAAGCAGCTGCCGACGAATTTTTCTCAGTACGCGCCGGCACGCTCTGCCTGTCGAGGCTCGCGACTAGCGTTGCTTCCTGGTGAAGCTCTTGAGAAGCGACCCGAATCTCTTTCCTCCTTCCTCTTAGAGGAATTCCTGTAAGGTGTAAAGTAAGAGGATAGCGATGAGGTCGAGAATGAAGGTACATGGAAAAAATCAGAAATAATGCGAATATGCCATCGTCTTTATTATTATACACAAAGTCGCTCTCTAGATCGAATGCTTAATTAGCGACTGACAAAGAGTCGCTGATCAAAAGTTCTCGAAGGAATATCACTATGATCACACTCGCAACGATCGAATACAGCGAGTTTCGCGGCAATAACAAGGTGATTCATGATTTCCTAAGAGACAAAGTGCAAAGTATAAAATACAAAAACTGTGCCGTTCTTTCCGACTGACATAGCTTCCGATGAATTGTGCGAATAAAATGTTGCATATCAAAGTCGCGGATTAATGATTCTCATGACTCATACTCCGACTAAACTTATTTCAGCATTAGTGACTACTCGGAATTACATGAAAACAATTGTCGAATTCGCACTGGTCGTCTGCTGGCGACAACAATACAAGAGCAACGGGTGCCCAAAATCGCAATACGCACTTTCTTTATTTAACTTTGATATCCTTACATTTTTTCGAACATCTGAATCTATCAGTCAGAGTCATCCCGAAGCTAATAATTTTCTCTTATACTCAATTATTTCCCGAGAAACTCGTATGTACAATTCGAGGAGGACGGTAACAATAACTTGTCTTTCCGACACTTTTTTCACGGTTATCCTTTTCTCACTTCACGTAGGGAGCAATGTATATTCGGTAAAATAAGAAAAAAATAGCGTTCGCAAAGGATTGTCGCACGCCGGACTCGATATTTGATATCGCCGGCGGCGTTAGCATGACCGCCAGCATGATTCGTTGAGTAAAGCGAGCGTCGTCTCGGAGGAGGGAGCCGGTGGGTGGGTGGTCGGTTTTTACGACGGGTCACGGAAAGGTGAGCGAGCCCCCCTCTCACCCTCCTTCTCTTCTTCTCCTCCACGGCGTCCCCGTCCTCCGTGAGCGCTCGACGCGCATCTCGTTACCGCGACGAGCCGGGGACGAGCTCAGATACACTACGATGACGCAGCACCGGCTCCTGGTTACCTCTGTCCATTGTTCTCCCCGCATTTCTTCTCAGCTCGTGCTCAAGTACTCGAGAGCTCGATCGCCTACCCACCCTCGAAGCCCGGATCCCTCCGCGCACTTTCGAATGTACCCTCGCGCGCTTTTCGTGCATAAATGTCGGGCTCCTATTCGCTTTCGCGCACGATTCAGCTATTTTAGCGCAGTCATTGCCGAGAGAATTCGTCGTTTAATAAGCGGCTCGAACGTTGGTCTTCCGTTGCTGCTTCCTCAGATACCTGAGTCGTTGCTTCGTAACAAATAGATATTCCAGGAGAAAAGTAACACACGTATGATTTCGTTTTACATTCCAGAAATGTATCGCAATGATTAACACGTTGGTTAGCGCCTTGCTTTCCGTTCATTGTCTTTAAAACTTAAATCATGAATCTTGAATTTACTAATTGTTTTATATCACCATTGCCCCTGTACAACCAATTCTCCGAATGCAATTCATTATACTTTGCACATATCTTAACGAAATTATGCCAATATTATTGCGCACCAACTGGCATAACAGATGAAGTTACATCATTTTAGAATTCATTATAAGAAATGCACAGAACTTTAGCATATTCTATTCATAGTATATATTAGTTGGCTAACGATTGGCCACTGTAGATTCAACATTGACCCAATGCTTTGTGCTACTCGGGTAACGCACAATATAATCAGATTAGATTAATAATATTTCTTAACCATACATATTTATTTTTGGAAGTAAAGCTGTCACAAATTATTTATTACTGTCACTTTGACGAATTATCCCTGCATCTTTGAATTATCAGTACCTCGATAATAAACTTAAAAAGTCCTTAACTGCATTGCATAGTAAGTATGTATTGTACACTGAGAGAAGAATTTAGTAAATATTATCAAAATTTGGTTACTATTACTAAATGGTAGACGTAAATATAGCGGGCCAAAGCTATGGCAATACTTATTAATTTAGTTCTGTAAAATAAATTATTTATTTGACAGAAGTAAAATTTATTTGCTTCCAGAATATATTTGGTAAATAAAACTTATTGAATAGTTGAGCAAAATAAGCGATTTTGTAGTAGTTACAAAATTTTTGGTAGGTTCAACCAACCATCTGTAATAATAGATATTGAAACGATGTAATAGCTGCAAATGAATGAATTTTTCGTTGTGCTGCAACAAAACATACTTATACTCGTAACAAAATAGAACTCGTACCTACTGAATTTTTTATTATATGGGATATAACGATTTCATAACAATTATCAAATATCTGTTCATAACTGTAATATATTTCATATTAAATATTTAACATTAAGTAACTATTACTAAATTATTTAATTGATGTTACTGTGAATGCAATTACGTCATACTCCCGATCTATTAAATATTTGGTAATTATTATCATATTTAGTATTAGTTACTAAGGATTCAATGAATTTCTGTAACTAAATGCAGTTTGTTATAGTTACCAGTCTTTTCTCTCAGTGTATGCTGCGTATGTGTACATACATAATGCGGTACAAAAGGGTGTAACTTTATGTGTTAAAGTTATTACGTCTGTGTATCTGGAAGATCTCAGAGAGGAACGTGACGATCGGAATGTCACATCGAAATAGAGCGACGCGAAAGATATAAAGAAAGAGTCGGAGAGGAACAAGAGCAGCACTATCGTTAGCCATCGTTCTTGCCGCAACTTTCTATCTAAATAATCGATTCGATCAATAGAGAAGAGGGTGCGAGTCCGACGCTGACGTTGCCACCGCGACGCAGGGCGTCGACTGACTCCCATCGGCGGCGGCCCCCCCGCGACGTTCCCGCGCGGGGCACCCGCCTGTCGATAATATCCCGCACCAGTTACAGACAGGGCCTCACCTGCAGTCCGCTTTAACCCGCGGTTGACCCCCCGTGCTACCGACTCGGGGCCCCCCTGAACGCGCCGCGGCGCGTCGACTCCTTGACTCCCGGACTGCGGACTCCGGGTCCAGTCTCGCGGAAATAACGACACTCTCTCTTTCACGGAAAACGCCTCCGAATACCTTCGCTACTCGTCTTCATCGTAGGGTGTGCGGGCC